CGTGGTGGTGGAATTGCGGAAATGATCGCACGGTCGAGGTTCAGTGGAACGCGTGGCGGTAGCGGTGGCGACAGCGGGGCCGAGGGGGGTGNGGGGGGTGAGGGGGGGGGGGGGGGGTCAGCCGAGCGGAGCCCCGAGACGACCCGTGAGAGCCGGACGGGGGACCCGAAGGGACATTTAGCTGGCGCCAGGCGCCACATTCACATTACTACTTCAGTCCATCACGCTGCAGGAAAACCTTCATTTCGCATTCCGATTTTCCCCTGATGATGATGATCGCATCAACGGAGGCTCCGACGTGCCCCCCGCCCCCAACCCCCAACCCCCCCCGCCGCTCCACCTGAACTAATTTCATGTCACTTTCCACCTCCGAAACTCCTCGGCCGGCCTTTACCTGACACGGGCGGGCGGGGCCTCGAATTTTTGCCCGCTTCGCCGGCGCAATTTCCTCCGTGTTAAATTACACGTCTTCATCCGCTCCGCTGCCCTAATTGCACGTATTTATGCTGGAAGCAACTGTGTGCGAATGGATTCAATCAAAAGGGACTATACGTCACGCGAGTCCTAGGCCCGTAGTTCCTTTTGATTTTGTTCGTTTTTGCATAGCTCGTTTTAGCGTTAATACGTCGGATTTTAACAAGCGTTCGCTCCTTTTAGCGCTTTTAGCTGTGAGCCGATTTGAATAGCTTGTTTCGAAGAGCGCCCAACTTTGAAAAATAAGAAAATTCTAGGAAATGGAAAAATACTGCATTCAGCGGAAAATTTATTCATATTAACCTACGAGTAGTTCTTTTTAGCATAAATACATCCAAATGAGGAATCGCTGATTGTCCCTTTCAGCCTCCTTTTAGAAACCAGCGGCATCATCTGGACTAAATTCTGCAAAAAGGAACTGCGGTTTCTGGCCCGTTCGCAGGAGCACCTACCAGTGGCGTGGCGTGAATTGCGCTTTATCGATTGTTATGCCGTTTAAACCTATGGTAAAGAATCGATTATTACGGTGTTCGCTGCGTACACCCTGTTTATCGATCCTTTTCCGCAGGTTTAAATGGCAGATCAATCGATATATCGCAAAGCACGCCGCGCCACTGGCACCTACCTGCATCGGAAAGCTTATGGCGCTTACATTGTTTCTAAAATGAGCCAAATACAGGAGTCCCGTATTACAAAATGTGGTCCATTTGATACTCATTGAAGCGCTGGGGAAAAAACTGAGTGAGAGTGAATTTCAGAAATTGTTAAAAAAAAATTAGAGCTTAAAAGACGCAAAAATAAGCCTCTTAGATAAGTTGAATTCCTGAGTTTTTGAAGAGTCCGCAGCCTTTTTCTCTGTCTTTTTAATAGGATCTCATACAAAGGATTGCAATTTTACAAAAAAAAATCAGTAGTGCATGACCGCACTACTTGACCAAGCATTTTTTTTCTACTCCTCAGCTCAAAATATCGGCAATGAAATGACCAAAACGCGTAACTTGGAGTGGTTTGCAGTACTGCATACCTTCAATTCTAATTAAATTTCAAGCTATTAACTTGGCTCGTTCCTCACTGGAAAAATAAAATAGGTGCAGAAATTTTGAGATACCGCGACGGAGATAAGTGATTCCGCGTTTGGTTTTCAATATATTTTTCTGAAGGGTAGTAAAAAATCCGGGGGAATAAGGCGCAGAAAAATCATGCTCCAGAATCTCTAGATATCCCTCAAAGGCCAGAACTCCAACAAACCAGTCACCATCGCGGCCGCTACGGCACGCATAAAAAATATTTGCCGTCCCGATCTGCCATCCGTCCCGTTGAGAGAGAGCAGAACCCTTGAGGATGCTGCACTTGACTGGGGTGTGTCCTCAGCTGAGACAAAGCAAAGGGATCCTCGAAAAACAAATACTTTCTTCGTCCTGCTTGGAGTTGATCACGTTTTCACGGCCAGGAGCGTTTAAAAAAATATATCCGTTGACCGTTCGGGGGTGCGGGCTAAAGGAAAATAAACCTACTTTCGGTGAAACTCGACCTGAGGCCCAGATACAGACATCCCCCAAGTCATCCGGCACGTACTTCGAGGCGCTATTCCGCTGTGCTGAGTAAAAACACTGTATGAGCATTCGAGTGTTGCCAAATTTCCTTTCAGAGAATATTAATTTTTTAGTAAATTTAGAATATTTTCCTTAGAAATTTTAGACTTTTTAAGATCAAAATACAAACGAAATCTTCGAAAAAATCGGGAGTGAAACATTTTATTCACAAATTTTCCTAAAAATTCGTGATTTTTCTAAGGAAAATTTGGCAACGCCTGATGGCTCATACGACTTTTTTCCTCGGCACGGCAGTATTTCACATGGATATGCATTTAAGTTTATCTACGAAAGACAGTTACGCGGTTGCCAGCTTGAGGGTTGATAGAGAGTTTATCTACAAGAAGGAGGGGCGGTGGTCGGTGGAGAGGCGTGAATCAGTAACTATCGATATTTTTCCATTTGAAACTATGATGAAAAATCGATTGTCAAGGTAAATCCTGTCAACCGATCAACTTTTAAAATTGATTTAAATGGCAGATCAAATCGATTAATCGCCAAGCCTTATTCGCGTCGATAGAGGTCTCTTTACTCATCATCAAAGCCTTATCGGATTGAACGACTACTTAGATCGCAATTTTTCGCAAGGAAAGTTTGTGCAGATATTTTGAAACTTTGCCTTTGAGATTAGAGTTTATGGTGACACCAGGAACGCGTCACAATTATTGATAATGCTACACCTCGTTCAAGGATTTTTTTTCTTTTTTTTTTTTTCTTTTTTTTGGTGATGGACTTAAGTCAATTGAAGCATTTCAAATTGTAGAAAATGTCTAGTTCATTTAAGTGCGAATGAACTGCCGAGAAAATCATCCCGAAAATTTCACGGAATCCGATCAATCGTAAGAATAAACTTTTAAATTTTCCTTGAAAACTTTCCTAAGTTTGTCGTTTTTCAGACAAAGGAACGTATTTGCCTCCGAGGTTGCAAAGTTTTTTTAAAAAAATCAATGCTTACTCCAGTATGACTGTTCAGTTTCTTACAGATTTTTCCTACTTTTTGCGTGAATTTAGAAGAAAAATCAATAGCACTGGAAAAAAACACATTGGATCTAGAGTCCAGACTCTTAAAAACATCGACAAGAAAAAGTACTCTTGATTCAATCAGAATCTAGCTTAAATCAAGAACCAAGCCTCTTAATTTAAGCGGATTTCGTTTTGATTCAAGCAAAAATCCGATTGAATCAAGAGTATTTTCTCTTCTCAATGTTTTCGAGAGTCTGGACTCTAGATCCAATGCGTTTTTTTTTTTCCAGTGAGGTAGATTTTTCAGTATTATCGTATGAGAAACGACAAACTGTCAGTCCATGTAAAACTGAACCATCCCTCGAAATTTTCAAAATGTGTAATGGACTCATGCGCTTCTGCAAACAAAATCGATTCGATTTGCTTCAAATCGGGGTGAGTGCTTTTCGAGATTCACACGGCAACGGTGCCGAAGATGTGATGCTCCTAGGTCGGAGATGTACCCAGGTGGGAGAGGCAGAGGATGCAGAGAACCACTTAACTGCTAAGCCCTCGGTTTAAGCGATTAGTGGCTCGAGCCCTCCGCCCCGTAGCAAGTGACATCTCCTGTCAATGAATTTAAAATCCATTTTCCGTCTATTAGCGGGGCTCGGCAGCCATTTGTTTTTTTCTAATAGCCACTAGCTTATCCTTGATTAACGCTGACATTTTCAGACTCTCGTGTAAAACAAAAGGATACTTAGGGGCTGGAAATACAATTCGAATTCATCGGGAATATAAGCGCCACTTTTAATTTTTTTTTCGTCCACCTTTCTAACTCATCAGGTATTTTTTGTACAATATTCAAAGTGAATCTATATTGGATGCAGGCAAACCTCGAGACATCGAATATATCGATGGCTTTAGTAAAAAATTGTGTGTCTTAGATTGCGAAATTGAGAATCACTGCTGAAGTTTTATCTTCTTTAGATAGCATTATTCAGAGAAGGTCCTTTAAATTTTCTGTGCATTCTCAACATTTATTAAAAATACTCACAAAAAACTTTGAAGAGTTACTATGGTTCATTTAAAAAAAAAAAAAAAAAAAAAAAAAAAAAAAATGTAACGTAATTTGAGATTTTTGAACGTCGCAATAGAGACATGCTCCTCTTGGCTCTAGCCATCGATATTTATACCTGTGCTACGTGAGAAGGGCCTTATTCATTTTATGCTAGACAAGAAAACAGCATTTGCTATCTTCTTTATGCTTTCATCGTTGGTTACGTTAATGGCAATCATCGACACAATTTAATGGCCAGACTTTAGTAGAAAATTGTACAATTGTTCTCGTAACAGCAGTAATTATAACTCATCCGCCGAAGTATGTAGACTTACTGCTGTGTCTTGTCTGGTTATAAATGCAAATTTTTGCGCTCATACTCTCTTATCATGACACACTTTTTTTTACGCATGAGACGAATTTTGTTTTTCGAGCTGTATCCATCAATGGACTGATTATTGAAATTGATAGACAAAGCTGTAGTTAAAGAAAATAAAAGGAAAATGGAGTGATCCTGTTGCTTGAAGTGGGTGGTTGTTATAGACGAGGAGGAAACTGATGGACTAACCATTTGGTCCCTCGTGGATAGCCGTTAGCTATTCTATTACTTTGTCCATTCCAACCACCCGTTTCCACCAATAGGATCGCTCCATTTCCAGTTTGTTCTTTATGTTTATCTCTTTGTCTATCAATTTCAAAAACAGCCTGCAGGCCTTTTGATCAGGTTATCTAGTCGAATTTTGAAGGAAGCACAATTTCAAAAATATGCGCGATATTCCCTCTTCGATAACATGACAGTGATACGAGTATTAGCGATTCATCTATCTATGAAAGTAGAGCGCAAAGCGCTCAATCGGGGTTGACCGCGTAGCGGCCAGAGGGGACCGACACTTACTTTCAATCCCTAATCAAAGCGTCCATTTCTGTTACAGATAACTGGAGCAACGAGAACCCAGGACTGTCAACCCTGATGATCTTCAACCTGACCTGCGTGCAGCCCGGCGAAGTCGTCTACTCGGCGCGCCTGAACCTGGACCCGCACGACTTCTTCGTCCACCCGCACCACAAGAGCCCCGGCGCCCCCCACAAACGCACCCACCACCGCAAGGCGCCCCTCCCTCTCCAACTCCGCGTCTTCCGCCTCGCCGACGGCCCCCTCGGCCTCAAGCCCGTCGAACTGGGCCTCGTCCCGCTCTCCCACTCAAACTCCAACTCCAATGACGTCATACCCAACGATGTCGTGATCAGTGACGTCACAGCCTACCTCCTGGACACGATCGCCTCCGCGGAGCACGACGTCCTCATCGGGTTCCGACTCGAGACCCCGCACAACCAGACGCTGATGCCGAAGATGGGCGTGAGGTCGCCGAACAACAGCACCCACCGGGCAGCGTCCTTCTTGGTGGTGTTCTCCGAGGAGAGCGTCTTCCGGCCGTTCCTCCTGCCGTTGGCCATGTTCAACACCTCCGCGGAGAGTAACGAGATTCCCCGCTCGACCGGGAAGTCCGCGCCAGCGCCGAATGCGGAGGCTAATGAGGTGCGAGTCAGGAGGTCCGTGACGGACAACGAGGTGAGCGGCAACGACAGCCAGGACGGAGCCCCGGAGGAGGACGCCGAGGACGAGTACTACGTGTTTCCCAGGAAGGGCAAAGGCGCCGCCAAGCGCAAGAAGAGCCGGGCCAAGCCACACCTCAACGACCACGTGATGGTGAGTAGCCTCGACGCGGTGTTTTGATCGCGGATTCGGATTTTATTCGGATCTGGAATTCGACACCGGACGCGGATTCTGAAAAGTCGCGATTGTCACGTTGTGACATTCGCCGATACGTGGTTTTTTTATGAAATGGCGGTTGTTGAAAATTTTGTCGATTTCCGGACGAAGGAACGTAATTTCATTCTAAGGTTGCAAAATGGATCCTAACGGTTAAATTTTTTACAAAAATTTACCTGTGCCATTTCTGTCCTAGATTTGTCTGATTTTTGCATGGGATTAGAGAAATAATCTGTGAAATTTTTACCTAGGAATGCCTAAGATACTCCAAGAATTGCGTTTGTCGCGATGTGACTGTTAGCAGATACGCGATTTTTTAAAAATGACGATTGTTGAAAAGTTTGTCGGTTTCCGGACGAAGGAACGTAACTCCATTCCAAGGTTGTAAAATTGATCCGAACAATTAAATTTTTTACGAGGATATCGTTGTGTGATTTTTGTCCAAAATTTTGCGAAGTCTTGGATGAGACCAGAGGAAAAGTCAGTGAAATTTTCAGGTAGAAATGCCAAAGATTTTCCAAGAATCGCGTTTGTGGGGATGTGACTGTTATCGGGAACGCATTTTTTTAAAAATGACGATCGTTGAAAAATTCGTCGATTTCCAGACAAAAGAACGTAACTCCATTTCAAGGTTGCAACATTGATCCAAACAACTAATTTTTTTACGAAAAAGCTGTGCCATTTTTGTCCAAAATTTGTCTGATTTTTGCATGAGAGGGAAAATCAGTGAAAAATTCGGCAGAAATGCCAAAGTTTCTCCAAAAATCGCGTTCCTCAGGATGTGATTGATGGCTGATACGCGGTTCTTTAAAAATGATGATTGTTGAACAATTCATCGATTTACGAACGATTGAACTCAACTTCATTCCATGGTCGCAAAATTGATTCGAACAATTAATTTTTTACAATAATTTACTTGTGCCATTTCTGTTCAAGATTTGCCTGATTTTTGCATGAGATCAGAAAAAAAAATCAGTGAAAGTTTCAGCCAGAAACGCCGAAGATCTCCTGGTAAAAATGCACTATGTGAGCTAAAATTTGCCAACATTGAATTGTGAGGAATGTGTGTTTGTGTGCTCGAGAGGAAAATGACGAATTTCTGATTTTATGAGGTATGGATTGGATACCGAGAGAAAAGTTGAACGGTATTATGGTAAAGAGTGAAAAGTTAAAACCTGGTACGTGCCAGCAGGTGTCGCAAACATTTGACGTGGTGTTACTCGCAGAAAAAGAATCTACATGCTTTCGTTCCATCGATTTTTTATTAACATATTCTTCCTCAATTTTGGGCTTTTTTCATGACAAATATTGATTTTTGTGGACCATCGGATTCCCGTTAATGAGGAAGACATTTGCACAATTTTAGCATAATTTGAGGACGCTTCACAAGTTTTGAATTTCCACTTCATCTGCATGTGAAGGTTTTATTGATGATACGATTTGAAACCGGTTGTTCTTGAAATCACCGGAATATGACTTGACAAGTCCATGCCCTGGACCTCACAGTTTCAATTCAGCTGAGAAAAATAGTGTTTTCGTTAAATGTAATTATTGAATCTCGAATATCAATATAGATGGTGCTTTATGTCCGAACTAAAACACATGGGCGACGTCATCCATCGTAGTAGTGTGTATATCATTACTTTTTTTACTCTGATATCATCACTCAGTGATGAATGAACAAAAGTAAATCCCACTTTAGAACACTCTTTTATGCTACTGGTACTAGTTAAATAAACGTGCTATGTAAAGGCTTATGCGAAGATACATGAAAAAAGCCTAGATATTTCGCTATTCTCGGAACAGAGGATTTTCTGTCTCAGCACATTAACTGCAGCTTCTCTGCGACGAATTTTCAGACAGGAAGCGTGTCGTTTGCTGAACTGCCATTCAGAAAATTAAAACATGCATTTACGCAAGGACAAGATAAAAATGCGTATTTAAGCGCTAATTAATTTTGCAGACGCTTCGAGTTGAGCCTCAAAAATGAAGTGAGGCCTCAGCCCTTGATATTTTGGAAAAAATGAGTTAGGAGTTGTTTCAATTCAGCAAGTTGTGAATTTTTTCTGACCAAAATGCAAAGTCGAGAAAAAATATTCAGGGCCCCAGAAAGTTCTTCGAGAAACTTGCGGGATTCAGCCCGCGCACTATGACGTTCTGCGACCGAGGTGATTTTCACCAAAAAATAGCGCGTTTACATTACTTTTCTAAAAATTTAACTCAGTTACATTAATTTTGTGAAGAAAACTCTACGCTTACGCAGTAATTTTTCATAACCTGAACACTCAATCATTAATTTCTTACAAAAAAAAAAAAATAAAATAAAATAAAAATAAAAAAATTCAACACTTACGCAGTAATTTCCTCACAAATTCAACGCTCTCGTACTACTTTTAAAGAAAAGTCGGTGAGTTTGTATACTTATTTATACAAAATACATATATCTACACTCTTTTTATAAGTTTTCGTAATAATCAGTACGTTGAGCATCCACTCTTCAGAACAAAACTGTTTTTCCTCCCAAATTGTGTAATATTCCAACTTTTCTACTCCTGCGTCAAAGTCTCTGAGCTAGCTAGCAAGAGTTCACGTTCTCCTTCATTTTGTTGATATGCAATTATGCTTGCATGAAAGTTGAAATAGTTGTATCACGTGTTTCGCCCCATCTAACTTTTCTACTCCTGCGTCTAAGTCTCTGATCGAGCAAGACAGAGTTCGCGTTCTCCTTCATTTCGCGGATATGCAATTTTACCTACTTAGAAGTTGAAATAGTTGTATCCCACGTTTCGCCCCATTCAACTCTACCACTTTAGTGTTGGTCTTAGCTCTCGACCCGCCAATTGCGATAAGTTCCGAGATGCGTACGCCATTTGGAAATACGTAATGCGTCGTGCATCAATTGGACTGCATTTTGCAATTTGGAACCATAAATTCTGGCTCTTCTGGAAAAACACGTATGTGCATTGGAAAACTAATGGAACATACGTTGTTTTTAAAACGGGCTAGAATTTATATTTCCAAATTGCGAAATGTAGTCCAATTATTGTTTCTAGAATGTCTTCAAGAGATTTGTTTTTTGAGATGACACATTTTCAACAAAAAACGTTCGATGTCAAGGCGAAAAAATAATAGTTACCAGGATCTTAAAAGAAAAAGAAAAAAAATTAAAAGACGTGTTCATCTACTTCGAGTCGGCTCCACTATCACTCACCATCAAAGCTCAAAACAACCGTTTTTTTTTTCCTATTTTAATGCGGGTTCGTTTCTCCCGAACCCGGTCCATTTGTCACGCGACAGTCCATCAGCGAAAACGAGGGCGGAGCGCATCGGTGAGACGAACCCCGAGCATCGGGCAAAAACCTCCTATCTCGATTTCAGCGGGAGCCCCGACCACCTCACATCCCCACACGATACGTGCCCACGTCGAGGTACAGATAGGCTGTTCCTGCGCAGATAACCTGTTGCCGCCCAGATCCGATCGTGCGATCGGATGCTGCGAAAGAGCAAAGGCTCCTAATTGCTTCTCGAGATCATAAAATCGGGCTCTACCTGGGTTTTCTTCGGGGACCAGAACCGGGAGCCGGGAGTCATCGAGGGGTGGTTNGGGGGGGGGGGGGGGGGGGGTGAATCGTCATTACCCAACTGGACTAGCTAGCTGGAGGAGCGACTTCGGCGATGTCAGGCAACTGGCTCTGGCTCCGTGCGATGTGTGGTCTCTGCACGGTCAGCGGCACCGAATTTCCGCTGCTGCGCTGCCCGCTGCCCATCCACTGAGGCCCGGCCCCGTCACCTGTCTCGCCATCCCGCGCCCGCGCCGCCAGTGGTCACTCGAAAAATCAGACCCACCGCACCGGTGTTGCCATTTAGTGGAGCGGGTTTCCCGCTAATACGGTTCCGGTATGTTGTTGTTTTTTAGACGAAAGAACGTAGCTATGCTTTAATTTTGCGCAAAATTTCCAAGAGAAAAATTACCAAGAACTGTCGGGCATTTCTGACTGAGGATTTGACCAATTTTTCTACTGATTATACGCAAAAATCAGTGAGATTTTGGACAAAAATTGGACAGTCATATTCCAGTAAGAAAGTGGAGCACTGCCTTCTGGTTGCTCGAAAAATCAGACCCAACGGATCGGTGTTGCCATTTAGAGGAGCGCGTTTCCCGCTAATACAGTTCCGATATGTTGTTGTTTTTTAGACGAAAGAACGTAACTATGCTTTAATTTTGCGCAAAATTTCCACGAGAAAATTTACTAAGAACTGTCCGGCATTTCTGATTGAGGATTTCACCAATTTTTCTACTGATTATACGCAAAAATCAGTACGATTTTGGACGAAAATTGGACACTTATATTCCGGTAAAAAAGTGGACCACCGAAAAATCAGACCCACCGCACCGGTGTTGCCATTTAGTGGAGCGCGTTTTCCGCCAACATAGTTCCGTTACGTCGTCGTTTTAGACAAAAGCACGTAACTACCTTTAAATTTGACGCAAAATTTCCACGAGCAAATCAAATTCCTACTCGAGAACTGTTGGTTATTTTCAACTGAAGATTTCACCGATTTTTCTACTGATTAGGTAAACAAAAAAAATCAGTAAAATTTTGGACGAAAATTGGACAGTCATATTCCCGTGAGAAAGTGGAGCACCGCCTTGTGGTTGCTCGAAAAATCAGACCCACCGGATCGGTAATGCCATTTGGACTGCATTTTGCAATTTGGAACTATAAATTCTGGCTCTTCTGGAAAAACACCTACGTGCACAGGGAAACTCATGGCACATACGTTGTTTTTAAACCGGGTTAGAATTTATAGTTCCAAATTGCAAAATGTAGTCCATTTAGCGTAGCGGCTTTTCCGTTGATACAGATCCGGTGTGTCGTTGTTTTTCAGACGGAAGAACGGAACTTCCTTTTAATTTTGAGTAAAATTTCCACGAGAAAATCGATGGCGAAAGTGCGGAACCACGTATCTCAATTACGGTGTTTCAAAATTTCGGCTCTTATTTTATTTTTTAGAGAAGGCAGAAGCCAACTTTCCAGCCTGAAAATAGAATATTCTACTTGTGAAGAAGAAAAATCAAGGAAGTTTTACATGATTTACATTGAATAGTTTTTCATGGAAACCATGAAGTACGTCAGGAAGTCTACAAAGTCAAAAACGGAGATACGCGCTTTCACAATTTCGCCATCAAACTTATATTATTATTAGGGAACTGTTGGCCCTCTGTTGGTTCCTAAGGATCCAAAACGCATCTCTTCATTTTTACAAATATTAACGCAAGTGAATACGTTGGTGTTTATCGACATTTTTGTGTTTTTTAAAAATTGAGAATTTGTGTAGCCCCTTAACGGAGTTTCGTAAGGCAAGACGTTACCACCGCGTGTTCCTCGCGGTTATGTGTAAAATAAGTTGCTGAAATGATAATTCTTACCTGCTGTGAAAAATTCATTTGATAACATATAAAAAGTTGAAGGTTACCTAAATGCATTCAATCCCACATTAGTTAAGTTAAAAACAAGACAAAGAGTCGAAATAATTTTACTAAATTTATACTCTCTCCTCACGAGAGCGTACCAATTTGTACTTATTATTTTATACTGTGACTTCATCACGTTGCATCTGTGTTGCAGGGGCGTCGATTTCAAGACTGCAGGCGAAAAAAGCTCACGGTGAACTTTGCCGACATTGGATGGGGCGGATGGGTACTGTCTCCGGATGCTTTTGAAGCTTATTACTGCGATGGCGGTTGCTCCTATCCACTTATCAGGGTGAGTATCTTTGATGGGTAATCCCTCAGGTACATTAAGACACGAAAGCTTCGATTCCAAAACGCACATTAAACTTTTGCCATTTCAAAATTCCCGCTTTAATTTTATACTTGCAGAACAGAGACAAGGAGAGACCTTGTTGTTATCTCGGTAATTGTGGCAGCTCTCACCTTTGGGACTCAAATATTCAACTGTGGAGCTACCTACTAGGTGGATGTTCAGCCACATGTAGAGCATGTTTCTGCAAACGTTACATTTCTACGACCAAATGTGCCAACCAAAATGGAACACGCGACCGTGGCAATTATTCTGACTCCGGATAAAGCCACTCAATCAGAATCAGTTTTTCGCACGCCGTCACTCTTTTACAGAATGTAATATAGAGCCGAGTTTCCCTACTTTCACATATTTTTGATACAACACGCTTTTTTATTTACAGAAAAAAAGTTATTTTGAGAGAATTTTTTTTTTAATTCACATTAAGTTGTTTTAATTCCAATAAAATTAAATGTGAAATAGCCGCCAAAATTAGGTTTCTTTAATTAAATTGAACTCATACGAACTGAAAAAACCAATTATTTTACCTCGAAAAAATTGCTTTAATTGAAGTAATAATTATTTCTCATAAAATGTTTCCTTTAAGTCGAAGAGAATTTCGTTTTAATTTGAAACGATGTTATCTCGCCATTCTTTTTTAGCGCATATTTTCCACACGTAACAAGTTGAATTGCGGTTATCGCAAATCCCTGCATTTTACAGGAGCTTAATTAGGTGTCACAATTTTATGTGAAGTTTTCATTTTTTCAGTCAATGAGGCCGACAAACCATGCGACCCTCCAGAGTATGGTGAGAGCTGTCGGCGGCCGCGATGTTCCAGAACCGAGGTGTGTGGCTGACAGTTTAAGCCCGGTCAAGATCACCTACATCGATCAAATTGGCAATATCGTTAGGAAAACGTATCCCGCCATGAGCGTCCGGTCCTGTGCCTGCAGATGAGGATCTGTCCACCGTGATAATTTACCATCGTAACGAATTTGTTTGCTCAATATCTCGGTATTTGTTTGTATCGAAGAGCTGAATAATTTTTTCCCTTCATCTCTTTTATTTGTAAGGAATTGTTTTGCGAAACTTTGTGGAGCAGGAAAAGTAGCTGGTGTTAACTCAGTCATGTCAGTTTGCAGGAGTTTGATAGAAATTAACATGTATAGTTTTTAACTCTGCACAGGTGACTGCTTGCACGTCCGTGTACAGTTTCTTGCCTAACCTCCTAATTTCAGGCGATTTTACTGACAGACCAGCGGTAAATCTGGATGTGTTTCGGTATGCACAATGGTCCACCGCGTTAATGAACCTTATTTTTGTCATGTCTTCCCTTCACTTCAACGTTGTTTTTCCGGAAAAATATCAAGAAAAGTTTAAGTAAATATATATATTTCACTTCAATCAGTGTGTCCTTCTGTAAAAATCAAGTGCAATACGTTTAAAAATGAAATGCAGCACATGTGGTACGCTATAAGTTATTCTGTCACAGTAAACCGCATTTACTCTTTTGTAGAGTGTTTGTAAATATGCAGATATTAATTTGTAAAAAGAAACAAATTGTGTACATTTGTAAATTTATGATGTGCGTGGTTTATCGTTACTATATTTTCTTATCAAATACCATGTCAAACATGGGAATACTTAATTATCTTTATATGAAGATACAACCTGTATAGATAAATTTAACTTTGTTAGATCCTCCAGGATAAGTAATTAAATTTACTACAAAAAAGGAGCTTTGGTAATGTTAATTTTTACTTGTATATATCCAAGTTGATTAAAATGTGTTTTGTTAAAGAATTCTTTATGTATTCAATTAATTAATCTTTTCCTTATTTATGCTTTTCGACTGGGGACCATTGCCTTGAAAAGCACCCAAAAGAAGAAGAAGAAAAGAACCTATTCTCAGAGGAAGAAAGAAGAATGATTCCATTGAAATAGATAAAAGCGGCCGCCTATGGTTCCGCTGAAGTCTTAATTTTTCAGCTTCAAATAACATTTGGACAATAAATTGTCACATCTAAACGTTCCTGTATGACAAATTGCTATCCTCAGTATTGAAGGCTGCTTTTTTAAACACGAATCTTTTAGCGAGATTTGCACGATGATGTTTCGACGATTCGATGTCTGAACTCCAGAAGTATGTATCTCTATTGCAACGTTTCAATGTTTTCTCGCATACTTGATTTTTTTTTATTTATTTATTTTTTAAGGAAAAGAAATCGATAACTGGCTTTAAAGTTTTACAGTTCGACCATAAAATGGTATCGAAAAATACGAAAATCATCTCAAGCCAAAATGTTGATTTTTCTCTCTTATAAAATATAGTACGCGCAGAAATTTTGAAAAAATGCAAACTTCATGAGTGGTTTAGGAGTTAAGCCATCACATTTCACCCTATAGGTTTCATTAATTGTAAAATCATGTCATAACAAGAATGTCTCAACCCTTGTCCGTTTTATCGTTCGATAAAAGTTTAAACGCAAACACACAAAATGATGAATGGTGTTCACATGATGACACCCTTTTCTTTGAGTTTTTTATTTTAGGGTTGAAAAAGCAACTTCAACTCCTCCGCTTTGGCCACTTTATCTGATTTTGAACTGGAGGAAAATTTGCACAATCTATAAAAACCAAATTTCATAGTGTTTGTATATTACGCTTTTTAGTCAGACTCTTTTCATCGCTTTGTATCCTTCTCAAAGCGAAAAAAAGTGAATGGTAGGAGTTAAACACTGCACCCATGAAATTACGTAAAGGGTTGTAAGTAACAACACATTTTTCTTCGAGTTTCGCCACTAGCAATTTTAATTTCTGATTAATTTATTTGAAGACAGCTAATCAAAGTTAATTTTTATAGACAGTACAAAAAATTAACCTCCGTTTGTAAGTCACAAGCGGAGATACGCACATCTCCCAGTTGCAGCCACCTATACGTATACTCCTATTTTAATATATACGAGTATTCAACCTACTGCTAGCTTGGGAGGGACACGCGTATAGTTTTAGAAAACGACAAATCAAAAGAATTAAATAAAAAGGATACTGATGTCATACTATTGTGAGAGTCGAAACTCACGCCAACTAAACACATTTTCTGTACCGTGTATCGACTACACAAATCACCATAAAACGCTTTATACCAATCATTGTATACCATCTTTTCAAGTACGCTTTGAGAAGTTTTCTCTCCGTATTCTACCCCAATCAGTATTCCCACTTCATGTTGAGTTATCACTAATATGTCCAATTTAACATGTTGAGAATCCGTCTCTTCCAGTGAAAAATTATTATCTCTCGCAACTTTTTTTGTATTTTTAATACATGGCGAAACTCCAAGCAATTTCAATTTCGCCAGGCTAATTTTTTTCTTCTTATACATATTTTGAATCGCACTATGCATTACGACTAGCACTTCCTCCTTATTTCTAAGAGTTGAGCGAGTAAGAAGTCTTTGTACGCTCTGGGCGAAGGTTTGAAACAAAGTGTAATTCTTCTGTGTTAAAGAACTCAACGCGTGTACGTACAAAAGTTGAGCATGTTCTGGTGTTTTATAATAGAATTCTATGTACTGGACCGTATAAATTCGTTTTCTAAGATCTTGCGCGATTTGTAAGTTAGCAACTTCCATCGTCATGTTCGTTGCATTTCCGCTCAGTTTGGAATACACGCCGATTTCGTAGAGGTATTGTAGTACCAAATACAAATGTCCCTCGATCATGTTTTTCCTCCTATTTGACTCTATCGTGTACATCCCTAAATCCCATAGTTCATCCCCGCTATTTCCTTCAGGGACAGGGATTGTTATAGGTCCTTGAAGTGATAAATCAACGGACCTCGTGAAGTTACGGAGATGCCGCAACTCGAAAATTGGAATCTCTAAATAATCGGATAACGGTATATACTCACGATCTTTGAAAAATTTGACCAAAGGGTAAAAGCCATACCTCTTTTCTCCACCTACGACCGAGTAACCATCAAACCACTGCTTTATTCCATTCAAAGTATAGTCAGTAAGACCATAAACTCCAGCTCCAATGCGTCTAACATCGAATTCACTGAAGCCAAAACACGAAGCCAGCTCGGAATCGTCAAAAATATTTGTATACTGAAGGTCTTCTATAAATTCTTTCCAGGGTCCTGCGATGCGCGTTCTACCTGTCATTAATATTTTTTCCACGTTTGGATTTCTAAATATACCCTCAAATAAATACGAACCGATCGCCTCCACTACGAGAGAAACATGTCCGGGCATAATTTCTTCCATGACCCAGGATCTGGACAGAAGTGCATTGAGTCCATCGATGAGGACTATGATTGGTCCGTTGTACACTTGATTGTACGCAAATGACAATGCACGGCCGTCTGACGGTCTTGACCAGTTCGCGTCGATTCTCCACGTTATGTTGGCGAATAGAGCTTTATCTAGATTCTCTTTTCCTGACGTCATGGTTCTGATCGGATCGCTCGCCCTTCGCAACAGGTCAGCGAGGTCGTCTTGGAAGTGCGCGGGATTAATGTTGAAAGGGGTGAAATCAAGGTACATGACGGGGTGTTTCATAAAATGTTCCGCCACGAATTTTGTGTCTTTCATGATCTCTAGGTTCTGGAATAAACTTTCCTGGCGTGATTTTATGCTGTCCGAGTGACCGTAGTGGGCCGGATGAAGGAATTCCCGAAGCATGGCGAAGTTGGTAGACTTTCCGAACTTGCTCGGTGCAAGGATGACTTGGTATCGCGCGCAGGAAGGACTAAAAATCCATTTGATGAAATGCGTTTTGTCGACGTACTCTGGCGAGTCTCTAATTTTTTTGAAACTAAAGTATGTCAGATTACCATTGTCTACGATTATGTAGCATCGCGTCCAAGATATTGGACTCCATGCTCATCCTTGATATACTTACCTGCTCATCTCGTCCAAGATCTTGGACTCCATGCTCATCGCTAAACGTCTCACTTCTTTGCTTGAGCATGGAGTCCAAAAGCAAGTAGACCTCCCTTAGTTTTAAAGTTCATCATGATAGAAAATCGTATACTTCGCTTATCCAATCTAACCTGAACTAACCTAACCTAACCTAACCTAACCTAACCTAACCTAACCTTACCTAACCCAACCTAAGCAATGCACAGTTTTTTTCGAGAACACATGTTTTTGTCTTTATTTCACCAAAATTGTCTTAATAAATTTTTGGACCCCATGCTCCTATATTGTCAGAGAATACCTGCGTCCCACAATTTTGGACGCTATGCTCACTTCAATTTTTCGAAAAAATTATCCCTAATTAAAGTGAGCATGGAGTCCAAGATCTTGGACATGATGAGCAACCGAATATCATATAGCTGAGCATGGAGTCCAATATCATGGACGCGATGCTACATTACCTTGTCTACTGCCTGTTAAACAGAGAGAAAAAAGCAATAAAAAAAAAAAAAAAAAAAAAAAAAAAAAAAAAAAAATTAAGGGGTTGGGTGCAGAAAGCGCATTTCTTGGTTGGGGGGTTTCAGAATCGCCACCGCTAATTTATATTTTAGAGAGAAAAATATTGGGTGAATTCTCTGAAATTTTAAAATCATAAAGTAAATCCAGTGGAAGTTTCAACGGATTTCATGCATTTTCTTCAATTATATTGGATGAAACGTTAGCTGAGATCCTGAGACACCACAACGATTAAATGCCCTTTCTGCACCCAGCGCTTCAATAGGCGTTGATTTTTTTCTCTCCTTATTTTCGACCATCGTCGCATCATAAGGATACTGCAGCGCAGCTATAGGCTAACATCAACTATAGCTCACAATCTGCTCGGGCAATGCGCTGATATCTAAGGCTGCTTTGGCTCAATAAAGGGCAATAGCGTAGCAACTCAACGGGTATGTTTTATGAGCAGGAAAAAAAGAAAAAGTAAAATATGACGACAGGTCTGAATTCTGAACTCACAAAGCAATCGTGGGGTTGCATATTTTTTGTTTTGAAGGGGATTTTAAGGATCCAGCGGGAATCTAGTAGTTTTGGATACGACTTTTATCGTTTTTAGTTCTGTTCTCTTCAGCCCCTGTTCATTTTCACCCCTTATCCCCAAAATTAACTGAACTGGATTACTCACTGAGGTGGACGGTTTGTGTGTCGTGACGTGCAGGCCTCTCGTAGATTTTTCTGTGAAATAAATTACGATTACTTACTAAGAATAATTTTTTGAATATGTGAAAAGAGCGACTAATGAAACATATGTACGAGAAAATTCTTCAGCCGCGGCTAAAACAATTCCATTGAATTTCGACGGAAAAATTGCAGAAACTAGTAGGTACATCTCGATTTGCGACGTTGCAAACTGCACCGTCATACTTTATTTTATCTTTGGAAAACAAGTCAACGTAATTTCTTGACGAATTCCTTGATTTTCCTCAACGTTGGCAAGGTATTCCGCAGAAATTTACCTCAAGCTAAATAGTTGGCTTGCTTCTATTCGAAAAATATAATAAGAGGAGAGATTTTGAAACAACGTAATGGAAATACGTGGTTTCGCACTTCAGCCATCGATACGCAATCAACCGACGGTTGAACGATGGAAGAAGAAATATGTGCCATAGGTTCGGAAGCTTGGAACATCATTTTGATGACACGATGATGAAGATGATGATGATGATGACTTATTTTCCTATTATGAGTTATCAAAAAAAGCGTATCGGACTCTACAGCAAATTTTTGGAGGATAAGCGGAACAAAATATACGCGATATTGTTGATTACTCTCGATTCATTCATATCGTAATATATGAAAGATATTTTTGAACTTAAGTACAGGTATTTGAATCAGTTTTTTTCAAACGGGAATAGGTCCATTGTTCGATGAGTCTTAGTTAGCATGTCCTTTTATGCAAACCAAGGCTCATGCATAAATAGACTTGTTCCCTTTTGAAAACAATCGATTCATTTGGCAGGGATTCCGGTCATTGTCCTGAACTTCTGCGACGTTAGAAAGTCGAGAAAGTGTAAATCTTTGGAGACAATTTGATAAGTAAATACAGACCTGTACCATTTCCATGAGGAGTAGCTTCAGAGTAAAGTAGATGAATGTTTATCAGATAAAATACTTGTAAATATACACAAATGTTCATCTTGCACGTGCATGCTACACACTGAAAGATAGAGATGTGTCTTTAAATGTCATAGAGTGACATCGGCCTCTAAAATAATGAGAAAAAAATGAGAGAAAAAAAAACACGAAGAGATGGTCCGAATACTGTATATAACAAGGTGGAGAAATGGTGCTTTCTCTAAAATAATAGAGAGTGGAATTCAAACGGAATTGTGACCAAGCATAGCGTCGCCATGTCAACGTTCTATTTCATTGTTCTTAGATTTTCAGTTTTGATAAGTTTCATAGGCGTTTAATTCTTCACTCCTTTATTTCAAACACGAGGAAAAATTAGCGGTCCTTCTCCATTAATATGTTGTCTAAAGATAAATGTTTCTTGTTTGAGGCTAAATGTTGCCAGGTTGACAATATGCTTATTTAGGATATCATCTCAGAACCACTACTTTTTAATATGTGACCCAGTAGCAATTTTGCAAGTTGGCAGCACTATTTATCCGTCATTTAAATCCATTTAAAATATCGATTGTAAAAGAGACATGCTGCCCTATCATAAATCGATTGTTTTACATACATTCAAATGGAGGAAAAACATTCTTGCCAACTCTCAGGAGTTGCTACTGATGTGACCGCCTTTAGGAAGAGGAACCCGAGTGCACTCATAGTGCATCAATTATTTTAGTGAAGTCAATGTTCGGACTGGCCATAAGGCCAATCTGCCATTGGCAGATACGCCCCCTTTGAGCGCCGAAAACGCGCTTCTCTTACAAATGGCAAAATAAGAAGAGAAAAAAAAAATTAAGACCGAGAATATGTGAGAAAAATTTTTTAAATGAACGGAAGAAGAGAGAGTTAGGAGTGGAGAAAGGTGCTTTAACGCATGGTAGTGGTGAACAAAGGTCCAAGAACTACTTTCTGAAGCGTAAAAAATTTCCTGTGAAATTTTCATCTTCTTCTTGACATACAGGCGCTTTATCATCTCCCTCCTTCATTCGCTATGTGTGACTCCCTTAGAAGCGATGGTCCGTTTGATTTTTAGATGTACGCATCCTTTATAGACCTCTTAAGAGACCTTCCTCCTTTTCAAATGTCCATCATTGATTTGGACATACCATAGCATAGCTCCGGCAAACTTAACCTTAATTTATCTCAAAATTAAAAAATAAGAGACATCTAAAATGTAAACGCGATACAACTATCCGCGCAAGATGGGTGTCCATATTGCACATGAATGAGTCGTGAACTCGAAATGCTCTGCTCTAGTTTGAAGCAACATTACAAATAAGACAAACGCAAACACAATATTGAAATAAAGCGAGGTAAAGGATGCGCGTTAACGACGGCGCAGAGATACAACTATTCGTACTTGATGGACGTCTGTGCTGCATCTGAAAAATTGAAGGCGCGATGACGCGAACCGTGAGCTCTCAATGCTCTGCTTTATGCTGACAATGAAGCGTCGCTCTGATTCGGGTGAAAAGTTGAAAAAGGCCTGAAGACATCTCTCCTACCATCGGCTGTATTACTCACGTAGTGCTTGAAGCACCATTACGAATACGATAAACGGAAACAAACGCAATATAGAAAAAGAGGGAGGGCAAGGATGCGTGTTTACGACGGCGCAGAGATACAACTATTCGTACTTGATGGACGTCCGTGCTGCATCTGAAAAATTGAAGGCACGATGACGCGAAGCGTGAGCTCCTAATGCTGTGCTTCACGTTCAATTTTGCAATTTTTACTCCGTGCGATCAATAAACTTTGAACCTGAAAATAGCGTAAACTTGTGCTGATTTGCCAAAATTTTCTGAACCCCTCTCCACGTAGGGAATGCCCTACCAGGAAATATCACATTACGCCCCTTTGACCAGCCAAGGGTCTACGCCCTCAGATGCGAGCCAGTCCGATCTTGGTGAAGTCGGGCCAAACAATTTTAAATTTGTATTATTGACATAGCGCTCTCTACTGTCAAAAAAAATAAGTTAACTTGCGGTCATTCGCGAACGGTTTAGTTCATTTTTGTTTCAACGGCGCCCGTGAAGTTGTACCTACTTCAGCCTAACAAGCTAGAGCCGCGATCATGCCAAATTATAAATTTAGAAAACCCTGGTATTTCATAAAAACACGTGTTTTACTGCTTTCCAATCTTTGTGACCCCAGTTTTCAAGCCACTTTTCAATTTTAAATCAAAATCCATTCTATAGTAAAAGTCGAAGAGTCAGTTTCTTTTCAGATGATTTTGAGAACTTATGATCAAGCTCAAAGATTAACAAGAATAATATACGCTGCGTTAAAGGTAGCTAAGCCCGCCTCACTTTTTTCACATAATATTTTATATTTAATTCTATATTGTTTAAGTAATTTTTTCCTCACTTGCAAACAATATTTAGACTTTTGTTTCAAAAAAGTATGAGCTCTTACTAGAATCTTAAACTACGTAGTCTTGGCTGGATTCGCACGTGCAAAAGGAAGAAGGAAAAAGAACAAAAGGAGCAAAGACAGAGGCTAGTAATTCACTTGGCGATCTTCCAACGTAATTTAGTAAACCTTTGACTAGCCAACCATCACTCTCATTTATCCTTCATCTCTGAGGAAAATATTACATCGCGAGACGAAAATTAGTTTATGATAGAAAAGCCCCCAGAAAATGAGTGGGTGGGGATACGAAGCAGTCCTGAAAATTCTCTTTACTTCGTTTGATCTGAAGAGAAACCCGAGAAAGTATCGATTCTACCTCGGTCGAATATTACTCAATGAAAAAAATGGTTGAATTAATCAATAAAATTGTTTTTGATTTATAGAATTTGTTGTTGAACGGCATGTATTTTTTTATATTAATCGGGAAACGCTTCGTTATTAGATTTTTCAGAAAATTGGTAAATAATAGGGAAAAACCTCCAATGAGGTAATTTTCTACTTCAGCAGTAAAAAATCAGTGTAAGTAGTCCTATAAGACACTCAGGTACAATTGCGATACCTCTCATATATTTTTGACGACTGAGTTTGCAAATAAACCTTGACATTTTTTTCATGCACGAATTTTCCATCGGAAAGTCCCCTCATGAAGAAAAATCGCAATTTTTCCGGTGCGATGGGTGGAAAAGAAATACATTAAGGTCATTTTCGGACTTGGCGCTGAAGATTACGTTGCAACTTATGACGTGTACAAGTCCCACCTTTTTTGGGAGGTCTTTTTTTGTGGTGCAGACTCACACGTGTGGCGTCATCTATTAATTCATATATATGATGACAACTTTTTGTCGATTTGATATAAGAGCGTAACTAAGCTTTGAGATGGACTCTACTGTTCTAACAACTTCATGCTTTTCAAGTATTACGTGAAATGGAAGTAGGTATGCTCTCTAGTCATTGAAGCGGCGTATTTTTTGTGTTTGAAGTGCCTCTCATCTCAGTTTTGAATTAAAACACTCTCGATAATATATCGTGCCTATCTTAAGGAGGATAGGTACACAATTATGAGATTATTCTTTGAATTTATTTAGGTTTTTTCAAACAAATCAATGATACAGGTAAAGTTTAACAACTGTTCTCACGTTTAAAGAATTTTTTCTCAACGTTGAATTTTTGACGGGGTAAAACATACAACTTTTTGAATTCAAAACCACCCCAAAATTAATTTTTTTTCCCCCAAAAAGAGACTTACTGCGTTTCAGTTGAACTCAGTCCAAATGCGTCTTTGATTATTTTTTTCGTGTTGGCAAAGTGAGCTATCGGTGGAACTTGACGGCAATTAATTTTATGGTCGAACGTTTTCACCCCCTCCTCCTCTTCCCACGCCCTATCAAGGAGCTTCAAGAGAAGGAAAATGCTTCCTCGCTTTTAACTTTCTCTGAAAAATTAAATAATTACCTAATTAATAAAACAAAATAAATAATTTCTTAAAGATTATGTGTTTAAATCGGAAATGCCGCTAGATGACGTCACTAGGTGATGCGTCTTTCACTTTTAAATCTATTTCTATATGATTTTCCATATCAGAAAAAAAATTATAAAAAATACTGTGCATTCAGCTTCTTAAGCACTTTCAGATGAGTTTAAAAAAAAACCAAAAAAAAATTGCGTGCAAATTTTCCATTTTAGCCAAAGTTAAATTACAGTTTTAATTCAATTCAATTAAATATGAATTTTCGCGTTTTTTGGGGCTGCAAAATGGTGGCATTAATCGAAAAAATGTATTCGTAAAGAAAAGTTTCATTTCGAGATGCATGCAAGATCCTTAACTAATGTCCATTGTATACATTCAGGATACCTCTCACATTAGTCGTATGCGCGTCAGTTGCAGAAAGAACAAGAAAAGAAGAAACACCACGACTTGGGTGCTTACAATTTTTTTATTTAGAAAATTTAGAAAAATATTTGGTTTAAAAAATTAGAGAGACAAAAATTATGTACAAGCAGACAAAAAATAATCGATTTTCAGCTTCATCTCCAGCAGATCGATGGACTACGATAAAAGGGTGTACATTTGAGACGGCGACAACATTTTCTATTTTCATCGCAGAATTCACCCCGCTTAGCACATTTTCCAAGATTTCCGAAAAAGATTTCATTTACATCCATCGGGGCCCCATAAAGACCACCAACAATCGGCTCTGGTATTTTCTGATTATCAACTGTTTCTACTGGTTCTTCATCGAGGACGACATCAGATGACACTGATGGTTTTGCTGTTGCAAAATGAGCGAGGGCAACTATGAAGACGAACGCAAACGAAACCTGAACAGATATAAAAGACAAAGTTTTAAGAGAAAAATAAAAAATGAGCTAATTGGATTTTTGAATGTAGCCCGAATACCTCTGTTAATGAGGCAGGTGACAGGGTTACGATTAAGGGTGAGTATATGTATTTAATGCTTAAGCTCGTGCAGTTTTGGTAAAATCCCAATTCTAGACGAAAGCTATGGAAAATTGTCACGTATAGATTGCTCGTAGTTATGCATTTTCTTCGACTTTGGCGCAATCTGATGCTTTCTGATTGTCAACTGTTTCTACTTCTGATCCATCGGAACCGACGTCAGATGACACTGATCGTTTTGCAGTTGCATATCGAGTAAGGATGACTAAGGAGGCAAAAGCAAAAATGACCTGAACAGATAAAAAATGAAATAACATTAGGAGGGGAAAACCCTCACTCCAGGAAAAGACTGATAGGCAAGGTTGCAACTGGACTAGGTACTTCAATATTGAAATACATCAAATTTCAATGAAGTTTTTACGACTTTTTTTAGTAATTTTTTATAATTTGCTCTAATTTTTTACAATTAGGACATTAGGACGACTTCACCGGAATCAGCGTAACTACATTAGACGTTGCCAGACTCCCTCCCCCCCCCCGTTTCTTTTTTTTACGAGGAAACTAAGTGAGCAGCTCTCTGTTTTGAAATTTTATGAAAATATTCCTAACAATCCAGAAGATTATCAAGTTTCAAAGCTTTAAGTTTACTTGTAAGAAAAAAAAAGAGATAGAGGAAGGAAAAGAAGTATGCCCTACTTCCTTTCCTTCCTCTAACTCTTCTTTCATTTTTTATTTTATAGTCATACTGTTCGTATGACTTGAAATTAGGCTAAATCTCAAGTCAAATTCTTCCATTTTTCACTCCTGCATTTAAACGTAAAATATATCAATATTTTCACCCTTGAATTTCGATAGTTGGCTTATGATCAGTGGGATGAAATTGAACAGCATATAAAAAAATGCAGCAGGAGAGAGGCCGTAGATAAAAATGAAATCACTTACGAGAAGTTTGGATGGGCACATTTTGAAAGATTGATGATCGGCTAATACACTAGCAGGTTTACGAGTATGAAATTGAAGCAATTGTCCGGTCTCTTAAGTATATATTTATGTTTGAATTGTTTAGATAAAGACACATATCGCAAATTCAACGAAATTAAAACTTATAATCAATGTCATGACGTTATACATTTTATTTAGACGATGACAACTTTTTCCTGCGCTGATACAACAACATTGTTATACTCTGAGATGGACTCTATTGTTCTCATAATTTTATGATTTCCAGGGCTTGCATGAATATGAAATTGCTCTCAAGTCAGCAAAACGACAAACTTACTTGTCTTGGAGTGCCTTTTGTATCAGTTTTGAATTGAAAATTATCGTTCTCTTGGGCATCCATATGCCGGAAGTGTCCCGACAAGAGATTCTCTTATATTTCAAGCGTGCACTAGAAATGACGCGGAGCTATTTTTGTTTATGTTTTATCCATCCGTGAACATTAGTTTTCTATGCATTTTCATGGATTCTCTCGGGTGCTGTCCCAAGACACGCACTTTCAGGCTGAGTATTATGAGGTGCGTGAACGGAAATACGTTTTGAGGTGATTTTTCGACAGTTAGATGAGAATCTCTTACCAAGTCCAACTCGAGGTTTATTTTAAAGCATAGGTTATGTTTTTGCCTGACTTTCCAAAATTAAAGCGAGGGATGAACGGTGCCTCTGGACGCGGCTTCACATTCCAGTTTCAGGTAAATTGCACGCTAAATTTTTGAAGCACTGGAATCGTTACAGGTATCATGGATTCACCCCATTCAACCCGTTTTTGGGTACTTTTTTGCCGATTTTTTTCGTTTTTGCTCCAAGACCATCGTGGTGTTGGCGCTTTTTTATTCTTGTCAGACAGATTCGTCTAAACTCTCCGCAAATACTGAACATTAGTAGCACAGTATGTTTTATTTTTCATTTAAACTTACCTTATCGTGAAAAGTTGTTGGAGAATCTCCCACAAAAAGACTATGAAAAACAACTCTCTATCGGTAACAATATTAATTAAGGAAGTAAGATGTTTTTCAAAGTGTAGTATACGGTTGTTTTCAATGTGCCTTCAGCTGCGTCTGCAGCAATTGTTGTTACAAATATGCTGTGCGTGCTGATTTTAGCACATGATATACTTGACTCTCTGAAGGCGTTAAATGTGCGGAAGCAATTCGCCTTCAGTTGCGTTTACAGCAATTGTTGTTACGAATATGTTGTGCGTGCTAATCTCAGCTCATTACATACTTACTTCTTTGAAGGCGTTTTATGTTCGAAAGTAGAGCATCCTGTTGGAGAACAGGAGAAGTGAGATTGAATGAATCGCTCAATCCCTACTTCGTTCGTCCTCCAACAGACTGCGCTACTAGCGCACATAAAACGCCTTCAGACAGACGAGTATGTAATGGGCTGAAATCAGCACGCACAACATATTCGTAACAACAATTGCTGAAAATGCAACTGAAGGCGAATTGCTATCGCATATAAAACGCCTTCAGAGAGTCTAGTATGTAGTGGGCTGAATTCAGCACGCACAACATATTAGTAACAACAATTGCTGCAGACGCAGCAGAGGGTGCATTGTTCAGTTAAGAAAAAAAAATGATGGGAAGTTTGCATGCAACGAGAGGGTATGTATTCGATTGACATGAATCGGACGAAAATTAAAATCATGAATCGATCAACGTGAACCAATTGACACAAAACCCGGATTAAAAACAGTAAAAAACTTGCATTGACTATGAAAATTTCAAATTGCGATATTTGGAAAATAGGATTCGCCAAGATTTTGATTTTCCGCGATTTGAAGTCTGCGCCTACGATAGATTCATCCCATACAAAGCGTTTTGGGGTACATTTGTGTCGCATTTCTTTTTTGCTTCAAGACCACTGTGACCTCATGTGCATAAGAAAATTTTCGGGAAAAGTTCCTTGATTGCACGTAAGTAATCTTTTAATATTTCAGGTATTTTTTCGAATTGGGTGAATAAAAATCAAAATTTCAGTCTACCACTGACAACATGGGATTTTATTCGCTTTCCGCAAAAAAAGAGACTGTGCACGGAAATTAAGAAACTTTGCTCTTGAGAGACCCTTGGATGTAAGGTTCAATCAATAGGCCAATAGGCATATCAATGGCCAAAGTGCAAAACCAAGTATCCCCATTGTGGTGTTTTCAAAATCCTCACTCCTACTATACTTTCTCGAGGAGAAGCAAGCCAACTTTATAGCTGGAAAACTGTTTAAAACATTTTGATGACATAGAAAACAAATTACGGAAGGTATCAAGATATGACATTGGTTAATTTTTCGAAGAAACACTAAGGCACGACAGGAAGTCTGCAACGTTGTAAACGCAAATAAGTGGTTTAGCACTTCATCCATCGATGTTTTCCAACGCTCAGTGGTGAGGCGTGAATGATCAATTGTCAAAATTCCTTATTAGAAGCTGTGGTAAAGAATCTAGTGATAAGGCATTCGTTGCGAAAACCCTGTTTATCGATGCTTTTCGATAGGTTTAAATGGAAAATCAATCGATAGATCGCGAAGCACGCCACGCTACTGTCAACGCTGTTATGTGTTTTTGGTCTTCAAACGGCAGAACCTCTCGTCTTCGTCCAGATAAGCTCCACAGCGACGTCCATATTCTAATTTTCTGCATGATTCCATCTGGGAAAACTTGAAAGGCCACTGCATATCCAGGCAGGTTCATTTTTACCTGAGAGCTACAGCACAGTTGCCTGCTTGCTAGAGCTAAATATTATTTTACCCACAGTATCGATGATAAAGATTTCTCGGAAATACCACGAAATGGCACAGTTTGACAGCAATGATGCGGGATTGCGGGATGCGATTATGTGAGATGAAGTAGGTTAAGCATCGTCCCGCGATAGGTTATTCGCTTTTACGTATGCCGCTGTTATACCCACCATGCTATGTGGTATAGCTACCGTGCGGAGATGAAAACGTCATATGCGCTTTTGAACGATGCCAGATAAATATTGATAAAATACGTATTTTATGGACAACTTCATGGATATTTTTCATTAAAAATTCTGCAAATTTTCGTCTGAGTTTTATCTACTGCATGTGAAAATGTTTAGGCGATACACAGACTGCTAAAGTGCGAAACCACGTATCTCCCTTGCGATGTGCCAAGATTTCCACTCCTATTTTATCTTTCCCAAGAGAAACAAGTCAACTTTAATACTTGACATTTATACAGAATATTCTCCCGAGAGAGAAGATAAATCAAAGAAGTTTTCAAGAAACCATGTTGATGACTAGTTCTCCAAAGAAAAAATAAAGTGTGATGGGGAGTCTGCAACGTCGCAAACGGAGATACGTGGTTTGGCACTTTGGCTATCAATATGCATTCATTAACTGTTTCAAAAGTAGGTCCTATATCAAAGGATAATGGCAATTATTGATCGCCCATGTAGTATTTTTCCTAAATCTTTTACTTTATATCTGCATTATGAACTTATGCAGTCCAACAAAGCAATTACATACAAATTGGCAACTGAGTAGCCGTCTTGAACCCCTCATGTGCTGTTAATATTTACGATCGTGTAGCCTGTCTTACATTTGCGTTTTTAAAAAATAGATACAAAACAAAAAAATTAACATGCTAGCCACTCAGAACAGTTGTTTGCAAGATTTTCCAACTTCAAACCTGCTTGTGGCATAAGAAAATGGGAAATCGTGAAAATTTATTTGCACTTTCCCATACAGCGAACTCTTTAGCTCATAATAATAGTACTCGTAATAATTTCAAACGTAAAAAAATAATTTTGTAAAATTGCGTTTGAAAACCTGTGGATTTCAACTTTTTGTAGCGTAAGTCGTGTTCTAACCGGAGGGTGGGTGAGAGTGCCTATTGGACGTATTTCTGCGAAACGGAACTATGCGGATTAGGACGTGAGCCCTGTTATGCATACATTCTAATGGGTGCCAGGGCTCATGTCTTAATGCACATAGCGACGGTGAAATTACCAAACCACGTATCTCGTTTGCGGTGTTTAAAAATCTACGCTCGCATTTTATTTTTTTGAAGTCGACCAAATCAATATCATTCCTTGAAATTTTCATAGAATTTTCTCCACACAAAGAGGAAAAATCACAGAAATTTTCAAGACTAGACGTTAAGTAGTTTTTCATTTATAAAATAAAGTATGACAGGAAGTCTGCGACGTCGCAAACCTAGATACGTGGTTTGGTAGTTTCACCGTCGATAGTTCAGTTCGACAGAAATATGCCCTATTGATACTCTTATAGTCTACACTGAAAGGTGAAGGGTTCGAAACGGCGTCGAAACTCCGCTGATGGAGCCGTAGATAATACCTACGCAAACCGTACTGTCCTTTGAGACCCCTTGAGTGCAAATATTTATGTAGGAACAAAAAGGTTCATGAAACAGTTTTTAGGATCGAATATTATTTCCGGTCTCCATTTCTCGTCGGCGCCGATTCTGTAAACACTGAGTTATCAACTGCAACAAAGTTTGGATGGAGGGCTACGATCGTTAATTGATAATGCGTTTGAAGTTGAGAATTTCAGAAATCGGTCATATTCAAGCAAATGGATTGTTTACCCACAGGTATGCTGCAAATGCTTCGAAAAAGAACTGCCTACCAATACAGCATAATCGTTTATCAGTCGAATCAAAGCATATGGAAGGATGCAGTTGCGTGTTTTTCAAATGGAATTCCTGGTGGGTATGTTGCAATATTGCCTAAGTAGAGAAATTGAAGGAGAATCTCAAGTGGACGGTGCTTACGTTTTTCGAGTAGATAACTATTCGCACTCGCCGGTAGGTATGTTGCGTATTCATCCATTTGAAGGCGAACTGCAGAGGGGTGATACCTACTTAGCATCATCGTTTATCAGTTCAATTAGGGCTTTTGGAGCGACATAATCGTGTGTTTTTCGAAGAGATAACTATTCGTACTCCCCGGTAGGTATGTTGCCTATTCATCCATTTGAAGGCGAACAGCCTAGGAGAGATTATTGCAGCCTATTGCAGAGGTGTGATCTTACTTAACATCATCGTTTATCAGCTCAATCAGGGCTTTTGGAGCGACATAATTGTTTGTTTTCGAACAGATAACTATTCGTGC